TTGAGTTGATAGATCTGGAGATTCCAGGGTGAATAATATGAATCCCAGTTGTTGCTAACAGCACTGTCTCGGAATCCTCAAACAATGGGGATATCCGCTTCTGTCTTTATGACTCCAGGAACTTCTTGATCAACAAGTGGTATAAGCTCCCCACATATTTATTTCTAAGCTTTACACTGACCAGTCAAGCAGGAAATATGGGCTTTTATGTGAAGCATGTTGTGCCATGCTTCACATAAAAGCCCATGCCAGGGACCAATTGCTCAGAAAAACAACAGGCCATCAGCTATCAACAGCATTATAAGAATTCTTCCCAGAGATGTACATAAAAGAGACTTTGCATGATGTGATAAATGATAACCAAACAAAATCCTTACAATAGAAGCAGCAAAAGACCATTTGGCCACATAATCATGTTTCCCTTCTATCATATCATTCAAGGGCTACAGGTAGATTGTCCCTCAGCTTCTGAAAATGAATGGTTCCAAAATGCCCAGCAAGTTCCAACATCCACCTGCTTTCAAGTCTCTTCTATAAAGTGACTGGGTGTGCACACCTGTAATCCCAGCAGCTCAGGAGGCTGAGACAGGAGGGTCATGAGTTCAAAGTCAACCTCAGCAAAAGCGAGGTGTTAAGCAACTCAGTGAGACCCTGTCTCTCAGTAAAATACAAAATAGGACTGGGGATGTGGCTCAGTGGTTGAGTGTCTCTGAGTTCACTCCCTGGCACAAAGAAAAAAAAAAAAAAACAAGCAAAGCAGTATAGTATTTGCCCATAACCTACACTTATCCTCTTGTATAATTAATTAATGAATTGGTTCTATTTAGTTATACATGGACTATGTTTTATTTTAGTTAGGACCCCATTCTTGTGGGTGTACACCATGGTGGGATTCATTGTGATGTTTTCATACATGTTCACAGGAAAATTATGTCCGATTCATTCCACGGTCTTTCCTTTTCTTACATTTTTCTCCTGCGTTCTTTAAATCGTCTTCATATTACTTATGCATAATACCATGTAAGCATTGTGTAAAATAGTTAGGACGCTATGTTGTTTAGGAAAACAAGTGATGAGAAGAAACGTCAGTGTATGTTTCATACAGATAAGATTTTCCCCAAAAAATATTTCCAATCCACAGTTGATTGGGTCGGTAGAGGTAGCACCCACACATACTGAGCTGCAGAGGCATTTTTTTGTTCAAAATCCATAAATGTGATTCTTAAGAGGAAGCTGCCTTAAAATATGCAAGATATAACTACCAGGCCTTGACATGACATGTACGTTAAAGGAAGCCAGAATAGCTATTGCTAAAAATGCATTTCATTGATTATTCCATCTGTGAATGTGGTACCCTGATGGCAATCAATCAGGACAAATCAGAGAGCTACTCAGCTAATTCACCCATTGGGAGAACTGGTAATTAGGGAGCTGAAGTCAGGCAGGCTGCAGGCAGATGCCCACAGCATCTGCATTTGGGGGAGAAGATGCCTTCATGGTCGTCCTTCAGAAATTTTAAAAACAGCCACCTCCGCATTTTTCCAGCCCCAAATATGTGGACAGCATTCTCCACGATTTTCAAGGTCCCATCCATAGTTAAAATGCATTTCCTTATCCCTTTATAGATCTTTGCCTCTTTCTGGAAGGTGCATGGAGTCATGTCTTTGTTAGTTCCTTGTTGGCCTGATCACTCCTCTAGAAATGCTGGCTCCTGCACTAGAGATTGGCTCCATACCACTGATGGTCAGTAGGATTGCCCAGGGTGCATCTGGACTCTTCTCATGTGCCCACCGTCCTCACCACGGTTCCTACTTAGTTACAGGAGTCACTCCATGTTCCAGCTCTAGAAAAAGTTTTGGCCTCAACCCTGTTCTCATTCCCCTTTGTTGGACTTCAGCAGTAATTATGACGATCTATGGGCTTTCCGGCCTTGTCTGCCTCTAGAATGCATAATGACAATCTCTTTTTAAGCAAAGATTCACCGCAGATCTTGGATTAAGTCTAAATGATACCGGCTGGTCTACGATCCTTCCCCTTCTCCCCCTCATTGGCCGTTCCAGCTTTACCCTCTCCCAGGGTCATTTCTRGGTCACCATCTGCTATAGTTAAAAGGGGCTCATGACTCCTGGAAATTCAGGCTTTCTATCCTCCCACGGTGTTCATGCTGTCGCCCATCAATTTTGAAAATATCTCGTTAGAAGCTTTGGTGATGTAAGTAGCTGTAAATGTTGTGGAAGGATTTTTTTTTTAATTTCCAATATGTGTACTGTCCTCCTTTCTCTCTCTCTTCTCCTTTTGGTATTCCAGTAAGGCGTACACTACCTTTTGAAATGGCCCCACATTTTTAAATGATCTGGAATTAAGATAGAATTATGATCAGAATAAAATCCATCAGATTAGCTTTTCTTTCTTCTTATAATATTTGGTGAGTCCAAATCTGGCTCCCCTGGCCTGACATGTCAGTTCTTTGAGGCTCTGGTTTTGTTCCGTTTGTTGATGTTGATGCTGCTGGTTTTGRGTTAGAGAACTTTCTGGAGATGCATCTTGAGGGTCACTAGGTCTTGCCCACAGATACACCCATACCAGGTATTCTTCATATCCCTGTGAGTCACCTTTGATTTTCCTCACCTCCTCTGGTTTCTTAGAGCTTCTGTCTCTCTGCTTATGTGACCTACCTGGTCATACATGCTCTCTACCCTTTTCTTTAGAGCCCCTAACATATTAATGATATTTGTTTTAAGTCCCTTGTCTAATGATTCCAATGGGAGTCACRTCTGAGCCTTAGTCTGGTGATGGCCTTGTCTCCTTGGATTCTGGTTCTTCTTCTTCTGTCATGCCTAGCAGTCRTGGTAGGAGTCAGACAGGTATCTGTGGGGGTGACAGAAGCCAATGGGAATGGACCTTTAGTGTGAAGACGGATTGATGTCAGTCTGTCTGAAGGTGGGGTTATCTTCAATATTCCCTTTAGCTGTAGCATCTATAACTCAGCTCATGAATTAGCTCTTGACTCTGGGTTTCCTGAGTACTTCTCTGCAAAGAGAGGCTGTGTAGTCCTTTCRGCTCTAGTCCACTGGGGCTCTATTGGACAGCACTGGACCTATAAGAAGGGGTCCGGAGAAGGAGTATCTCACTGTTTTAATGGAACTGTCGCCTTCACAGCATAGCTCAGGGCTCCCTGCTCTGAGACATTCTCAATGAATTCCTGCAAAGTCTCCATTGCTGTTGATTTTGCTTTCCCTCAGAGGGGCTAAAGTGAGCCTCAGTGGCAGGACCTCCTCCCAACAGAGGCAAATCTTTACTAAAGACACCCCATGGCCCCCAGAGAGCCAGCCTTTGTTAGGGATCAGACTCTGGGCTATTTCACAGTGATGACTCTTCCTTTCCCCAGCCAGAGCCAGCAGGGAAACCTTTCCAGGTCTCCTCCCCCAGAACATGGTGGGGTTCCTAAATATAAAGCACACCCCTTTTGAGTTACCCCTGACTGATGTGCAGTTGCGAGTCYTAATAAGCTTTGTGTTTCTCATATAAATCTGCCTTTTGGGCATCTGATTTATGGAGTCAATGAACCCAAGAYGGTGCTTTGATTGGTTTGGACTCCTTTAGCCTATTTCCGCAGAGTGGGTGGTCTAAACAATGAGCATTTATTTCTCACAATAAATGGCACCCTGAGGTCCACGGTCAGCATGCCAGCGTTGTGACTCTGGTCCTCTTCCAGGTCACAGACAGCTAACCCCTTCTTGGATCTTCACATAGTATACAAGAGCTAACTGCCTCTGCCTCTTTTTATAAAAGCACTAGTCATGCCTGAGGCCTCTACCCTCATGACCTCAGAAAACTGGGAACGGAACCACCATTTGACCTGGCTATCCCACTCCTCAGTCTATACCCACAGGACGTAAAATCAGCATACTGCAGGGACACAGTCACATTAATATTTTCACAAATGCTAGTCACAATAGCCAAGCTATGAAACCAACCTAGGGGGCCCTTTGAAAATGAATGGATAAACACACACACACACAATGAAATATTACTCAGCCATAAAGAAGAATGAAATAAAGGCATTTGCCAATAAATGAATAAATCTGGAGACCATCATGTTAAGTGAAATAAGCTAATCCCAGGGGGAAAAAGGCTGAATGTTCTTTTTGATATTCAGATGCTGACTCAAAATAGGGGTTGGCAGGGGAGTGGAGGTTCACTGGGTTGGACCAAGGGGAGTGGGGGAATGGGATGGAGGATGGGAATGAGAAGACAGAGATGAATTGGTCGTAACTTTCCTATGTTCATATATAAATTACGTGACCAGGGTAACTCCACAGCATGCACCACCACAAGAATGGGAAGTTATACTCCATGTATGTATCATATGTCACAATATACTCTACTGTCATGTATAACTAAACAGAACAAATAGAAAAATTAAAAAAATAAGTATGAAACAATTAATGTCTAGGTTCAGGGGGATGGCCACTGGAAGAGAAAGAAGGAAGAGATGCAAAGGAATTAGGAATGTTCAAGACAGATAGACTGATCTGGAAAATAAAGATCAAATAGCTCATGAATGAGGCAAGAGGAGACCCCTTACCAAGAAGAGATAAACAGTTAGAAAAGGCTCAGGTATGAGCACAGGAAATGCTTCCAACTCCATTGGCTCAGAAAGCCATGTTAGTCAAAAATGAATAAAATTTGGATTGGAAGATCCACATTTTATTAATTTTAGAATATTAATTTAAACAAATCCAAGTACATGTTGCACGAGTTATACTTAGATGTAGCCCATATTTGAACAATCAGGAAGAGACTTTCCAGCCATATCCATGACCATAACTTTTTGTAGATCAAAAATTGTCAGATATTGAAAACTCTTTTGTTCACCTTAAAGTATTTGTAGTGGCTCATTATTTCTTAGAAATATGGAACAGGGCTGCTCTCCCGTGGCGCTGGGCTCGCGCGCGGATCAGGCCCGACGCTCTCCGCCTCCAGGCCTTGCRCTCGGCCTAGTTCCGCGGCGTCCGCTCCTCCGGCAGCTCACAGCGTGTCTCGTGCGCCTGCCGCTGCGGCCCCGATGGCTCTGTGCAACGGAGACTCCAAGCTGGAGAATGCTGGAGGAGACCTCAAGGATGGCTGCCACCACTACGAAGGAGCTGTTGTCATCTTGGATGCCGGTGCTCAGTATGGGAAAGTCATAGACCGGAGAGTGCGGGAACTCTTCGTACAGTCTGAAATATTCCCCTTGGAAACACCAGCCTTTGCCATAAAGGAACAAGGATTCCGTGCCATTATCATCTCTGGAGGACCTAATTCTGTGTATGCAGAAGATGCTCCCTGGTTTGACCCAGCAATATTCACCATTGGCAAGCCTGTTCTTGGGATTTGCTATGGCATGCAGATGATGAATAAGGTATTTGGAGGTACGGTGCACAAAAAAAATGTTAGAGAAGATGGAGTCTTCAACATCAGTGTGGACAATACATGCTCATTGTTCAGGGGCCTTCAAAAGGAGGAAATTGT